AATTAATCCATTAAAAATCAAGTATAAAAAACAAACCCTGTACATAAATACTAAAAACATTGGGGGGCAGGGGCCAAGGTCAATCACCCCACAAGCCACCTCCTGGTGCAAGCCCCCATACGGCCCCCAGGCCTTCTGGCACAGCCAGGATTTCATCCCTTTCCCGAATGAGGTAGGATGGGCAGAGAGAGAAAAAATAGGAATTTTGCATTAAAGTTTCAACCTTACAGTTGGGATTGGCTTCAAAGCTATTTTGAATCCCCTGGGTTTGGCCAAGCGTGTTTAAAAATCTGGTAGCAGATTTGAAAGAAGACTGCTTACTCGTCCCCTACTTATCTCATATACATGCATGCACGTACACACACACTTAAACTCACATAACAGAGGCAGCAGTCAAGGAATACATTATATATGCAGAAATTAAAAGAAAACAAATTGAATGCTAGTGCATTTTATAGCCTACTTTTTAACACAGTAATTAAAGATGGGAACTGTAGCAAGCCAGCAATTAAATATGAATAAAACACTTTTAAACAGCCTACATGCAAAGCATCCAACAGAAACCTTTTGTGTTGATGAAGGGGGAGGCAAAGAAGCAGCCCGTGCCTACATGCAGCTGTTGACAGCAGCTTTCCCCTCCCCTCCCCTCCCCTCCCCTCCCCTCCCTCCTCCCCCCCAGCCAGCACACAGACACACCACTTCTTGGCTCTGCCACCCCTTTCTTCCTGCTTCCACAATAAGTATTACCAGCAGCTAACTGGCACATTTGCAGCAATTAAATTCCAGTGGAGGCTCAGCTGCCTCCAGTAATTCACAGGGAGGGCACCTTTTAATTTTTTTTTATTTATTTTATTTCTCTGCCGGCAAAATCAATTAAACAGAACAACTGCATTTGAAAAGAACTAGTTACATATTTTTTCATAATTACAGTGGATTCATGATTCATCCTTTTGACATCCTTGCCGCCAGAAAAATTGTCTTCCTTTCGTACATTTCACAAGATATTAAGATTACATTTTAGTTCCCCCACCCTATTAAACCCAAGTTAACGCTCAGTCAGAGGTCAGATGGCTTAGAGAAATTAGTAAAGTTGTCAGGGGGCTGTTTTGCTTTTTAATAGTTTCATGGTATCACCAAAACTACTATACTTGACTAGAGGTTTATGTATCCTGGAGAAACAGTAGATATTCTCCACATTCGTGATCACTCCATAGATTGGCACAATACACTGAGCCACAAACTCGTCCGCGCATTTTAGTCTAACATGGAGTGCAAATCCTACTCACATAGTTAGTGATTACACAGTATGGCAGTACTTCCAAGACTAGTAGAAACATAGTTCCTATAGCAATTATTTAGATGAACTAAACCAAACCAATCATATTATGGCTTAGTGAACCCAGTCAGTCTTTGAATCTTCCTTTAGGAAACCAATCCTTCTCTCAGTCACAAGAAAGGCTGTTGGGAAATGTAGTCTTCAAAATCCAACCCCCATTACAATTTGCTATGTGCTAAATGAGATTGATTGCCAATAAGACTGATTTCACATCCATCAAGCTGCATCTTTGAGCTACCTGGCATACCGACATTCCTACTGTATCTCCATATGTGCCACTGTTAAGCCTCATGAGTTGCGGGTCTAAGACTCCATAGCATCACCTCATTATAAGTGGTGCATAGCTAAGCAGCTACTTATCTGGCCCAGTGCACCTTGGGCTACCACATCTGGGCTGCAAAAATCTGGATAACCACTAGATGGCAGGAAAGAAATGCAGTTAAGTCTGAGTCTTTCCTGTTACCTATGGCCATCATGAATTCTGCAGCCCAAATATGGAGCCCTTATTGTACTGCCAGATTGACTTTAAGCTGTTGAGATGTGTGGAAACATTCACCACATTGAATATTGAAATTCAATCTGCACAGCCAGATAATTTACATTATAAAATTCTTCACTGCTGGGGCTGATTTTTAATCATGCAAATAATATATGTAAAGATAGAAATAATGTTTATAATAATCATGATGAGAGTGGTAATACAGATTGGGCAGAAATTTGAATCAGTAAAACTCCTGGCTTCAGCCATACATATTTTTAGACATGATTTTATGAGGATGAGAACATACAGTAACTCAATGGCACTTATATGCTTTGCATAGAAAAGATTCAGTTCCGATACTTGTCACCTCTAGTTAAAAAGATCAGGTAGCAGGTGACAGGAAGAAAATTTGGCCTGAAACCAAGGAAAGCCACTGCCAGTAGGAACAGATAGTCTGACTTTAGTTGGACTAATCTGTCATGATGCAACTGCTCTGGAAGAGTGGCTACATTTGTCTTGCAGCAAAACCGAGAGTCTCTTGGCATCTTAAAGACATAATATAGTAGGGTTTTTTAAATTGTATTCCACAGAACCTTAAGGGGTAAAAAAAAAAAAAAAAATTCACTGAAATGCAGGAGTGAATATTTACAGCGGAAAGGGTGTGGCTTGTCAGCTGACCTTCAGAAGTCCCCCCCCCCCCCCCCCCCCGGCCCCGGGGTGTTTGTGCTCATGATGACTCAACACTGTTTTTGAGAGGCAATGGCAGCAGCAGAGTGAAAACCACCCAGTGGTTGAGATGGGCAGTGACAAATCTGAAATATAAATAAATAAAAATTAAACGAAAACGATGGGCACAATTTTTACCTAGGAAAATGCCTCTGCCTGGCAGCACTCTCCCTGCCTCTTGATCTAGGGTTCTTTTTCTTAAGCTTATGGGTCCCATAGCCTAAAAAAGTTTGAAACCTCCTGTATTTATAGCACAGGTTTTCATGTATGTGATGTCTAGTCCACAAAACATGGTATTATTAAGACATTTATTAGTCTTTCTGGGACCAGAAGGTTCTTTGCCTTTTCTGACTTGGA